TGTGCGTTAATCATCAATCAAGTACGAGTCTAAAATACTCTTTAATTAATTAAAGTATTCTTGATTACTACATGGATTAATTTGATTAAAACCCAACAATTGATATCAAAGCCAAGATTAAACTTAGGATTATTATAGTAGAAGTCAAGATGAAATAATTGAATATATTTTATTATTTGTAGTTGTGCAATTGAAACGAATCTATTCGGTGCATACATCCATTGGGTGTATCGATTTTGCACTCTTGCTTGAATTTTTGTTTCAGTTGATTCATTATTGTTCACGTTCACTATTTCGGTCTAAAGTGATTCGAATGCTATATGGCGTGGGCATCAGGTCTGTTCTTGAAATACTTTACATATGTTAGTTCGTCTACATTGAGGGCAGTCTATATTAATGAATCTATAGGTAAAGATCTTTGACAAGGTGCAAAGTAACCGTAACAATCTGAAACATTATTCTTGAATCTAAACAAAGCTATTTGGGTTTGTTAATCTCGATTTCAAAGCATAACTTGAATTGAATGACACGCGGAACGAGAATGATTATGGAGTTTTGTTTGTACTGAACTAAAGAATTAGGTATACATGTTTTTTTTTTTGAAACATGACTTGTCCAGCATATATACTATTGTTTATATGTTTGAATAAATCTGTTTGAAAAGATATATGAATTTTATGTTTATTTAATATTTAATTTATATATAATATCCAATTTATGTATTAATGCATGCATTAATAAACTAGGGGATGCCAAGTCAAAACTTGATGAGTATTTAACCCAAATGAATGAGTTTGTGTTCTGAGACACCTTGAATAATTAAATAAGATTAAGGAGAGATTAATCTGCCCATTACATATATACGGTTGTAATATGTATGTTAATAGACTATTTGAGGAGACTTCAAGTGTGAAGTTTGATTACATAAAGTCTCAAGTATGATTGGATATTATATTTACCGTTTAAAATTTTTGGCTTTAGTACATTATTTGAAGTTATGAACGACCACATATGCTTAGTACGAACATGAAGGATAATAAAATTTGTGGTTTCATGAATCTAAAGTGAGTTTAGTTGTTTGCATGTGTTTACATATACATACATCAAATGCACACATGTACATTGAGATTAAAATTCTTTTTCAAATGACTGTACACTGGGTTATTAAAAATTGGTTTGCATGCACAATTATACATATACTTCTTGAAGTATTATTTGAAATCTTTGTTATGAGGATACTGTATATATCTTGAATTTACATGCGCAAGTGATTTTTAGTTTAATGTAAAGTTGCATGGCGGTTTAGCCATACATCTAATGCTTTTATTGAGTAATTCGTGATATTTGTTTAATTTCAAATTGAAAAACTTATGGGGTCTTGTGTGCCATAAGCAAGTATTTTTGATCTAATTGATTTAAAAATTTAAGTACTTTAAATTGTTCATTGGATATATAATGTGATATAATATACATGCATCAAGTTTTTTTGTTATTTTATTTTAATTAAAGTATATAAAGAATTGAGATTTTTTTAAATCTCGATTGATGTGCATGTTATTATTATATTGTTCACTGTAATTTCTTAATATATATGAGGAGTCTTTACTTTATTCGTATTAAAGCCGTTTATATTATAGTGAAATTAAGTATTCCATAATATTTGGATTTAATTTATAATATTTATAAAGAAGTTGAACTTAAATAAATAGAACTTCTGCAATATAGGTTCTTCCTTGGGGTTTAGGAAGACCAGTAAGGTGACTGTATCAAACGTAATAGCTAAAGTGGGTGATGTCTGCCAAAAGGTGACACGCCCATGGAGGTTATTATTTTATTAAAATTTTAAGGCATTGACCTTATTAAGGGCTTACATTGCACGTACTTACATAAGGGCGTTTGTCTTGCCAAAAGGTGATCAATGTCTTAATGTATGATAAGTAAGTAAAATATTTGAGAGTGCTTGTATTATAACTAACCCCCCCTTACCAAAAAGTAGTGGAAGTGTTTAGCAATAATTGAAGTATAATTAAATAAGTCTATGTGAGATTTTATCGCAGGTTTGTGAGGTAAAGTAAAATCTAAAATTTTACTAAAAGGTGATTTTTAGATGGCATTGTATCTATTCTCGCAGGGTGGACAATTTTGCACATAGTAAAATACCCTGAGAAATTCGGCTTAAAACCCCAAGCACGAATTAAAGTAATAATCCCTAAAATTGTGACATATTATTTTATATGTTGTTTATGTGGTGTTATTCAATATAACATTTATTCAGGTTACAGACACTTCCGGAATTTAAAGATAGCTCTTAGGAATTGAACCATTGAATGGTTAAAATTATATTGCTTAGAAGACAGGTTTTAATATTAAATTGGGTTTCTTGGACTACGAGTCTGTATTTTTTTTTTTTTAGGAAGAAACCTATATGCCCAATGCAGAATCTTCTTAGGTAGAAAAGTTGTTACATTTTTTTATGTAGACTAAAGGTACTACTATGCCATTAGGTTAATTTATGCTTCTATTGGTGATACTATTGAGGGATTCTGATTTTTGATACTACTAATGAGCTTTTTGATTTTATCAAGAAATAGTTAATGGGCATTAAGAAGCAATTACAATACTATTATCTGACATGGTTTATGTTAGTTAACTATGATGTCAATGGTTCAGTAAGGGAGCCTATCTATATAATGTGCAAGCTGGTTAATGATCTGAGGTAGTAGGGAATCATATATGATGATAAGTTATTAGTTCACATGGTGATCTATTCTCTGCTATTATAATTCACAAGAAGTTAAATGTGATATTAACCAACTGTTAGCACTTTGTGTGATTGAAGAGGAGCGACTCAAAGGCGTTAAAATTGAGTCAGCTCAACTTGCCGTGACATCAAGAATAGTTTCAAGAAGAAACTAGGCGGCAAGAAAGTGTGTATGACTAAAAAGAATAAAAAAAGACAAAACAATACATGAAAAAACATTGATCATGGAATGATAAATGTTGGTTCTGTAAAAATAAAAAGACATCAAAAAAGGAAAAGGCTATTGTGGGGAAAAAGAAAAACGAAGTAGGAAAGAAAATTGTCATGTTAATATTCGAGCCAAACTTGGTAAAAGTATAGATGTAGACATGATAGATGGATCCGGATGTGATCATATCTGCTTCTTATTTTTCAATTGACTTATACCGTTTGAATAAAATTGTGTTTTGGTTAAAGAGGATTCATCTATGTCATGCATAGGATATTTGGGAATGTCTCTTAAAAGAGACTTGAACGCTTAGTCAAGGATGAGATTATTGAGTCACAAATTTTATGCGTTAGTTGTATCAAAGGATAAATGCAGAGAAACGCAATTTTGAGGCTAGTCGGTCATTTGGTCTTTTAGACTATATTTATACCAAATTTTGTAGTCCATTTCTTATTGTAATTCGTTTGCGGTAAAGGTATTTTATTGTCTTCATTGATGGGTTCTCAAGATATGATTGTATACTTAATTCACCAGAAGTCCGAAGCACTTGATGTGTGTAAAATATACTAGACTAAAGTTGAAAGTAGTTGGGTATAGTGATTATGGTTTTAAGAACGGACTAAGGTGGTGAGTTTTATTAGTAGAATGGATAAGGAGGGTGTAAATTGTACTACTTTCAGTACATACTTAAAGAGCATGACATTGTGTAACAGTATATCATTCCTAGTTCTCCTGCGCAGAATAAAGTTGCAGAAAATATAAAGTGTCGGAATGTCTTATAGAAACAGAGTTATATAATGCAAATATCAAGGAACTTAATACTCACACTATCAATGATTATTTTATTGGGCATTTTGAAAGATTAAAGGATTTGAAATTTTACTGTCCTATAGAGCTGTGGAGATTATTGGAATATGTCATGCATATTTAATGAGAGTGTTAAATCCAGTAGGAGTTTAAGATATTGTAGTTTCTTTTTGCAGAGGAGCAACTTTCAGTATCGATTTCATTTATTTCAGACTTCATTCCATTTTTTTTTAGTGATTTTATTTATAGTTCCTATTCTCACTCTTTCAGCTATTCTCACTCATTTAGTTATTTCTCACTTGCAGTCTCTTCTTTCAACTTCCAATCTAGTTCCTAAGCCTATTTAGCTTAGGAGATATTCTAGAGCTTGAAAGTATACTATAGTTGGTGTTTTAAAAGTGTATGATGAATATAAGACAAAATTGATAGCCAAGTGCTTAAACAAAAGTTAAATATTAATTTTTTTGAGATTTTTTCTCCAGTTTCATTAAAGAACTCTTTAAGAGTCATTCTTTTATTATCACTCATTTATGGTTTAAGCAAGTTTTATGGCAGCGGTATCCAATTTTGATACAGTGGTTATTAATTGTATGTTCAAAGAGAATATTATAGATAAATACATATACCTCAAGTTCAATGGGAGTCATTTTTGTTTTTCCTTATCCTGTATGTTAATAATAATTTACAAGGTAACAATGATATTCATGTGATACATAATATTAAGAATTTTATGTAAAGTTTTTAAAACAAAAGACATGGGTATGCAAAGTATGTCCTTGATATTAAGATCCATAGAGTTACAAGAAAATTAACTTTTCACCACGGTGTAAAACACTTTCTACCACGATTTTGAACCGTGGTAGAAATAGCCGTTATAGTAAGTCCTCTTTTTACCACGGGGTCTCACCATAGTAGAAAGAAGACTTTCAACCACGGTGCGGAACCATGGTAGAAAGAGGTTTTCCAACCGTGAAGTCATTCTTTCTACCACGATTTTGCACCACGGTGCAAAGCCGTGTTAGAAAGTCAATTTTCTACCACGGTGCAAAACCGTGGTTGAAAACGAATTTTCTACCACAGTTCAAAACCGTGGTAAAAAGTATAATATATTTTTTTAAAAAAAATAGTGCAGCCCCCACGAAGCCTTTTTTTTCCCTACTACTAGCCTTGCAAGGACTCCAGAAGCAAACACTAAATAAATTAAAAATAGCATCATAACCAAAATAACTTGCAACTAATCAATATCATATATATATATATATATATATATATAACCAATTCCAAATCATTGTTTTATACAAAAATTAACCATATACAAATTTCTAACTTCTTATGCCATACCAAAATAAAACAAAAATTCTTATATCTTCTTGCTCTGTTTTAGTCTCTCTTCCATTACATATATGCAACTTTTTCATGAGCCATACAAAAAATATAACGGCAACAAAAAATATAACGGCAACCGCAATCCTAGCCTACAAAAATGTAATAGTTGAAGTTTAGAGAATATAAAGCAAGTTGTAAAATTGTCAAAATTAAACCCAACAAAGGAAGCATTATAATAAAGGTACATTGAAAGATCTACTCTTCGTGTCAACTCAATATCTTGAGTCATTGACATCCCGTCACCAAAAGAAATCATGACACCATATTCAAACATTTGAAATGAAGAAGGCTGATTTTCTTTCTTTCTTTCGGAACATATATATTATTTTATTTAATTAAATATTTATGTTTGGCTTCCCTAGGCCCTGCGCATACCGAGGAGTCGGGACCCATATTTTATAAAGCTAGGTGTTGGTACCCTAGCTCTGGTTTGAGGTTTGAATTCTATAAAATTCACATTGTGTTTTCATTTTTCTTCTCTTTTGGTTGCTGAGCAACAAACATACATAGCTAGGAAAGAAAAAGAACTAAAAAATAGTGACTATTAAGTTTGCAACCCATTGAAAAAAATGAATCCAATTATAAAATTATATACTTACCGACGAGGAAAATATATCCATTGTTCCCGACATTAATCACCAAGATAGAAAGTCCAGATTATTGTTTATAACTTTTTTGTTAAATAACCTCTTAGTAAATGCATCAACGCATAATGAACATTTAGTTCCTTTTTTATCCTTTTTCTCACAAGTGTTTCATATCGACAAATTTGGAAAAAAACTTTTCAATCACAAGTGAATTCGATAAGAGCATGACAGAAGACATTTATACATAGTTCGTGAATGACAATCAGGAAGATTCTTTCATGACAGATGAGTTCAAATTAGACAATATAAAAGCAAAAGCTTCCAACAAAGATAAATTTATGAAAGTATTGCATGACGTCAGGGGCAGATTCATACCTGTCGACAAGGAGAAGGATGGACAACAATCATGTCAGCCTACCAAATAATGATAACAAACAAATCTGCGTCAATTTTCTGGCATAGCATCGATAAAGCTAATAAATCTGAAGATGACAAGAAGTCATATAGGTGAGTAGAGATTAAATCCGGTACGTAAATGATAACACCTGAATATGTAGCCCATTGCAACTTCTAGCTCATGCAAGTCACAAAGAAGTGCAAGATAATAATATTATCATCTTGAAACCACGTGCTTCCATCTACAAATAACAATTCTGTACAATTTCCTCAACTAGTTTGCTGAGAGACCCAATATTAAGCAATCTTGGCAGTATCTATAACAACAAAGCAAAGGATACAAGAATCATAAGAGCTGTCTACCAGTGTGAATAATTTGAATAATTTGTTGGCTAAGGTGCTTTCATTCGCCTTTCTGTTTTATTCTGATATCACGTGATTAGATCTAACCAAAAATTTATTGCTTACTGCTTATTTTGGTATCTCACTTCTTATTGAGAGGTCACTTCTTATCTTTCATACCATTTTTGACTTAAAATGGTCTTTTTACTTGTAAAAAGTAGAAGTGGAGGGTCTTTTTGTTTTTGTTAACCTACAGTCCTTGGTTCTTATAAATATTTAAACATGCATAAAATATAACTTGGAGAAGCATGATCAGAATTATATTTGGGAGATATTAACTATACTTCTCATGTTTCTTTACCTATTGCCATTGTTGTTATTGATAACCATATTTGGAAAATAGTTAGTCTTAAAAGTTATCTGATTTACAGTTTTTCATGTTTTGATATAACAATACTTACTGGAGGATTTGGAAATAGAAATTATGTGACATTGAGTCCTAGACAAGGCTACCTAATATTAACAGCTATCCCAGACTCTCAGTTAGGTTTGTAGAATGGCTTGTTTTGTTGTCTAAAATTTTGTTTATCCAGATGACAAGTTTTCCCTGAAAATGTCTTCTAATGAGTAACAGTGAGCTGTGAAAAAAAAAAAAAAAAATCAAAATACTAACTTTTTATTTCAGAAGTTCAGTGGAACGCTGCTATTTTAAACCTGGTAAGTTGCTTTTTCTCCAAGTTTGGTCAGCCAAACCTGTCCCAAGTTGCTTGCACAAGGTTCACCGGTAAGACACCTAACCAGCTTAGGTTTTTCCATTTTGGAACTACTGGTTATGCGACCTAAAACGAATTATTTATTGTAAATTGAAATTTGAAATTTAGGAAAAAGCTACGGTCAGACATTGAATTGAGAGAAGCCTTTCAATTCAATTGTTGAGAGGGCGTGCTCATGGTGAGAGTGCCCTCATGATGGACATGCCCTAAAGTTCATACCTTAAGCATTAGAAATGCATTTTGGTATTTGCTCATATTTTTTTGTGTAAATGTTTGTTTTGTTTGTTTGTTCAGTTTTTTATTTATTAGTATTTACTATTTATTTTTATTTTTTTATCTGGTTGATGATGACACATTAATGTGATATGTATGGTAGGTTCGGAAATCAAATGGTTTATATATAAATGTAGTCTATATATGGAGATTTCAAGTTAGAAAGAAGAGAAAGAGAGGTGGGGAATAGAACATGAGAGAGAATTCTGTTGATGGGTCGAGGACTGGGAACCAGCTGCTAGCATTTTTTGAAATTGTTGATAATTTTCTGAGAATTGTTCTATGAAAATCTTAGTTTAATAGTAATGTTTAATTTCAGTAAATAGCCTTTGTAGTTCTCTAAATAATTTCAAATTATTGAAAATTGTTTTTAAATAATTGAAGTAAAACGGATTGTGTCTTAGGAGAATCAAATAAGAGTTGCTTTGTTAAAGAAGTAAAATTGAGCTTTCAATAAAGTAGGAAGACAGATAAAGATGAATAACAATTTGCAAAACGCTTTCCAAGAATTCATTCTAAGCATGTGCATTACTTCTTGGTTATAATGTATCTGTCATAAATATGACATGCCTAGCATTCTTCTCCAACTTTTTTCATTTTGTTGTGGAAAACCTCTTAAAGTAAAATCGTGTACCATTCTTTTTTCTTTTTTTTTCCCCTTTATTTTACTCTTGCCATAAGTTATGATTGTTTGCTTTCTGTAGCAGGGTATTGTAATAGAGCCTGAAAAGGCAGATGATTCCTTCTTTGTTCTGCCCAGCTGGGAGCAGTAAGTATTTTTTTATTTACCTAAAAAATTTATCTTCCAATTTTTCAATTAATTCCCTTCACCCCAATTGATGCCTTGGAGAAAAGGTGGAAATAAATATATGTAATGCACGTATCTCAATTTCTAGAGGAATTGATTCACTATAATGCTGAAGGTGCTCGGTTTTATTAGAAAATTCTGTTTTAATTCCATTGTTCAGTTTCATTTCTAAACCTAGTAGTGTGTTACTTGGTAACATATATATACATATATATATACCAACTCAATCAAGATGTTTGTTTTCGGACAAGGTCCATTCGCTAGCTTATGTTTCCAACTTTTTTATTTGGTTAATTGGATGCAGGAAAGGATACAAATGCTTCAAATACATCACTTAAAAGACCTCAATATCGCTCGATTGATCAGGTCTCTCTCTCCCTTTCTCTCACTGTCTGTCTCTTGATCTTACACACGCACTTGCACTCGTTCACATAGGTCTGCAACTCAATTTATTTTTTGTACTCAAATTGAGGGTGTGCAAATAGATGTTTTATGCTTCTAAGCACCAAAATCTTCCTTAGGAAGATGGATGCATTTGTTATGTGACCTCGCTAACATTTAAATCAATGTTAATGTTTTAATGACAGAACAATAGCAACATGTTGGAGCCAAAGACATCGAAATCTGCAAGCTTGGGAATTCCAGGGACTGAACCAGTCCATTTCCGAAATACCAATACACACTACTCTCAAGTTTCAACTAAAGCCGGTCATGGAAGTTCTTCAAAGAAACAAGTCTCTCGAGAGCCTATTGATGGTATTGCTCATACGGATGAAGCACAGAGACTTCTAAAGGCCACTTATGAGATTGTAACACTGATACATATAGCCTTTTACATATTAACTGTAATGTAGAAAATGGACCTTATTAGCAACACTGGAGAGAAATGATGTACATAAGGAGATTTAGGAACTTAACGCTAGAGAGTTGGCTAAGGAATTCACACGTGCGACACCAGAGTTGGGTTATGTATTGGGGACTCATGATTCTACCTTACTGGTTCTCTTTTCTTTGCAATAATTACCAAACCATAAATAATCATCGTCATGATCTCTCCATCTGCAATTTCTAGTAAGAGTTTTGGAAATCATTCCTAACAGATGGGGTTGATGAGAAAATTTGGAGTTATTTATTTTTATTTTTTATTTTTATAGATTTGAATCGACTAAAATTTGGATTTGAACAAAACTTTAGTTAGAATACAAGTTTTGGAAACTTAATTAATTTTTCTGTTCTGTCAATTAAGAATGTCTTGGAAACTTAATTAATTTTTCATAGGATTTATAAGTTTTTGAATTCTAAATTTCAATTATTCTTGGTGAGTGTTTTAGATAGAATATAACATGAATTAAAAAAGCATTAACTAATAAAATTTGTGAAATAAAGTATGGTTCCAATAATAGATGGAAAGGCTTCAAAATTTTCATGCAAAGACAAACTACTATTCCATGTAAAAGTAAAAAATTTAAGTAAACTACTATTCCATGTAAAACTAAAAAATTTAAGTAAAGTTATAGACAACATATCAACAACTTCTCCACAACAATCAATCAAAACCTCCACATAAAATGATCCCATACTCCCATGCTTTCAACATTTTAAAACAAGAAATAAAAATGGCCTCCACACAGACCGATGTACCAATAAGGTAATTAAATTCAAGATACACCGCAAAATTGGTCACTTAAAGGCACGTGACCCCCCTTAGTATGAGTATAAAAAGCATTAAAATTGTGCAATCATAAAAGAATTTTATCGCACATAAAGACCATATAACTTACAATATTCACATACACATGTATGCACACTAGTAAAAATTTACATGTAATGCAACATAAATGTATAACTTTTGGATACATAATAAATTATATTTCCATTTATATAACAATATAGTACTCGTTCATGAATTTTGTAGGAATTAACTCAAATCCCTTTTGGAATGTTTGGTGGAAACAATTATATTCCATACATTGATCGACTGATATATATAATTTGGTAACAACCACATATATATACATTAAACATACATATAATTAATATGGTTGGATCTATATATTCTTCCTGAATTTATTGAAATGAAGAACACTAACACATCATGGATCAGTACCATTAAAAAATGTGATAACTATAGGAGACATGCATTATATAATCATCCAATACTTTATTAAACTTGATATCCTTATCAAAGATAGATGAGCAATAAGAGATATATAGCTATGGATATATATATATATATATATATATATATATATATATATGATGAAAAACTGATTTATACACTAAACTAGATAAGTGCGCAAAAAAAAAAAAAAAAAAAAAAATTCAGATGCCCTATCTACTGCTATCTGGAAGCACACTAGATTTTTGAATTTTGCTTTAAATTCAAGCAGATTATGGGTTTTGAAATTCATGAATTTTGTGTTTTCGTAATCATTGAAATATCTTCAGAAAACAAAACTTTTGAATCCTACAAAGACCACAGATCCGAACCAGACATAAGATTCTAATTGTTCATTTTTTATCCAGTATTCTATCAATTTCAAACAAAGCATCATACTTTTAAAGGAAAAACTCTAATTGTGAACAACCATTATCATCATAAGGAATGAAACTAGTATTTTCCTGCCGAAGAAAAAAAAAAAAAAAAAAAACTACAACCAATCACACAAAAATTTCAGCCAACTGCAATCGGCATCAGCAACATTTTCATTATAGTCAAAATTAAGTGAAATCCCAGTATAGAAATTAAATTTGAATATCAAAGTATGAAAAAGAAACAGAGACTCTGTATATGATAACAAAGCCCAAGGACAATTGTAACATACATCACAAATATGTACAATCGTGAAATAAAGAACAACCCATATCCTCCAAGCAAATGGTATAACTTATTAGGCAAACAAAAATGGTCGTGTATGAATAAAATTATTGATCACCAAAACACACACATACACACAAACAAGGATCGAGAAGATAGAGAAAATGCGGGAGAGTACCTGGAGTTTTGTGGGACCCCAAGGCGAATTGCAGCCTTTTTCTGTTCAAGCAAACTGAGAATCACCTACTACACCCATTGACGAATCCTTTGAGGCATCAAATTGCTCCATTTCAGTTTGATTCCTCTTCCTGCTACAGCACTACCAAACCCTACACACAAACACACACATAAATATTGATATATAAGCTCGCATAAAGATGAGCATAGCAAATGAAAGACTTTGTATGATAAAAATGTAGAGTTTTTATACGTATAGATATGTGATTAAGCTTTTTATTACCAAAAAAAAAAAAATCAGCTATATATATAGATATATATATAATCTTATGTATGTATAAATGTATAGGGCGAATCCCACCAAATTAACCAGTCTCTGTTAGAAGTATGGGGCGAATCCCATACCATACCTATTTGAGTACCAATTTGATGAATATAACAGGGGATGAAAATACAAACCTCAATTCGTGTCCTTCGAATTTAGGGCTTCGAATGAGAGAGGGAGCTAGGGTTAGGGATTGGAGAAAGGGGCGAATCCTTGTTCAATCTCGACGCCAATCAGCTGTGCCGCTATCTTCTCGACTCTAACGCTGCGCTGACCATCGATTCAACCCTCAGTGGCTTCGGTAGAAGGGTGGGGCTTAGAGAGAAAGAGGAATGACGGCTTGGACGGTCTGAGAGAAAGGGGGTGGCCGGCTTTCTCTTCATCTCCTTGCTCTGATTTCTTATCTTCTTCCTTCTTCGGTGGCTTCTCCTCGGCAACAGGCGGTGGAGCTTCCTCCTGCGTTGTTGCCTCCGAATCGTGAACCAGATCGAGAAAGGGGCGGCCGGCTTTTGACATATAGGTTTGTGTTCTGTAAAGTGTGTTCTGTAAAGTGTGTGGTTTTTGTACATGTGAGGAGTATATATATTTTACATAGATATATATTTTTATTGACGCTAGCGGGAATAAGACCCGCCAAGAGGCGAGTAAAAAAATTTCATTTTTCTACTATAGTTTTAAAATAGTCGTAGTAAAAAAACTCACCTAAATTATTAAAAATAATTCACTTTTTATCACGGTTATAAAATAATCATCGTAGAAAGTGAATTAGTAAGTCTTTCTACTACGGTTATAAATAATCGTGGTAAAATCATATATTTACTACCACGATTATTTTTCAACCGGGATAAAAGAATATACTTTCTACCATGGTTATTTTAAAACCGTGGTAGAAAGACCCGCCTAAATTACATAAAAACTAATTCACTTTTTACTACGGTTATAAAATAACCGTGGTAAAAGAATATACTTTCTATCACAGTTATTTTAAAACCGTGGTAAAAGATTATACTTTTTACCACGGTTATTCATTAACCGTGGTGGAAAAGGTATTCTACCACGGTTTTAAAATAATCTTGGTAAAAAATTTACTTTCTACCTCGGTTATTTTAAAACCGTGATAGAATGGGTCTTTTACCACTGTTTTTTTAAAACCGTGGTAAAAAAAGCGTGGTAAAAAACTGTTTTTCTTGTAGTGAGATTACACTACTAGAATACTTGGACTTGCACTAAAGGATTATATTAATTAAGTATATGGAAACAATTTAAGGGTGACCAAGCGTAGTAAACCCATAGGCATAAAGTACATTTTCAAGCGTGAGAAGGTTAAGGTTTAAATGCCATTAAGATTTCCACATATGGTTACAGAAAGATTATTGCAGATCCTCTCACTAAAAGTCTTCAGCCGCAGATTATAAACTATTTAAAGAGCACGTGATTTGGATAAGTGTTCGAGAGTCATTATATTATGATGTCTGGTATTTCTTTTGTATATGCTACATTGCAGTTATTTTTTTTTATGCCTTGTGGTGGCAGATATTTTTCCTCCATTTTACACCTTATAGTGACATTTATTTGCATCCAAAATAAAGTTATGATGCATCATTATTATTATCTTAATATATATGGTTTATGCACGTGCTATAATGTTTGTCTGGGAGTGGTATTTCACTCATGAGATTGTTTGGGTTAGATGTGAGATTGACACCACATCGGTAAGTCTAAAATAATTAGTAAAGGTTGTCTGAGAGTGATATTTCACTTATACAGTTGTTTGGGCTAAATATGAGATTGACACCATATCGGTAAATCCAAATATAAGATTTGTCTGGGGGTACTGGTGTTTCACTCATGAGATTGTTTGGACTAGATGTGAGATTGATACTGCATTGATAAATCCAAACATAAATATTAAAGTTTGCCTGTGGGAGTATTTCACACTCCATGAGGATAGCTTGGGCTAAATATGGGATTGGTTCCATATCGGTAAACCCTCACATTGAATAGAATGTTGGCGGTTTGTTGTAATATATTCAGGTGACATACCGTAATGGTATGAAGTGGGACGAATAGTGAGGTGTGCGTTTAGATCGCATGCAGCTTGCACATCTCATGAAATATAGTAAAAACCACTATATTTGCTTGAATTTTAGATGTAATCGGTTTTATGATTATGGAACTGTTTAGATTAATATATTACTTGTCTACGCATTCATAATCCACTATTGAGGAAGTCTACGGAGTAGAGTGTTCTAAAGTATCAATCCATCTATTTCGATAATTATATTTTTTATAAAATAAAAATGATTGGCCACTTGTTTTTTTTTCTAAAGTGTGTTGCAATCCATAATGCCATTTTTATAAAACTTAGAATCCATGGACCAAGTGGGAGATTGTTGGAAATTTTTATATATAAATACTAAAAATTATTTTATGGTCCTATACACTATGTTTTCTAAAATAGGATTGCAATGTGATTATTGATACTTGATGAATTGGGTTTTACTTTCCAATTTGGTGGTCTAATTGGAAGTATGGTTTTATATTGTTGGATTGTAGTTTTCCAACTTATTTAGTGTGATTTAATTCTAACCATTGATATCTAAGTTTTCATGATAGAAAGAGAGACTTAGATATGCTTATTTATAGAGAAGTTGTCCCCCCCCCCTATTGTTGTTATACATAAGGGTTTTAAAACCCATATTCAGACCTATAGTATCGACAATTCTCAGAAGGGGATAAAGCGCTCTAATGTTTTGTAGGAACTCACAGAAGATTACATAGATATTCTAAATGTATATGTGCATTAATCATCAATCAGGTACGAGTCTAAATTACTCTTTAATTAATTAAAGTATTCTTGATTTCTATATAGATTAATTTGATTAAAACCCAACAATTAGTTCTACTTCTACATAAGAAGTCTTGAAATATTATTTTAATTTAAACAATATAAATAATTATATTATTAAATTTAATAAATTTTATTAAAACTGAGATAAAAATATACATCATCAAACACAAATTTATTTATTTTTTTAGTATTTGAAATCATAAGGGTAATTTTGGTATACACAATCACTTTTTTTTCATTTTCATACTATCCAAACTAACAACTAATATTTTCATACAATTTTCCTAAATAAATTTTCATGCTAACTAAATGCTTGATAGAAAATAACATTTCTTTTCATTTATTTCACTTTTCATTTATTTTCTATTTCTTTTCTTTTCTTACTTATTTCTATTTAACGAAACAAAACCTAAGGGAGTCAGGGTTCCCTTAAAACATAGATGATTTGACATGTGTTGAGGTATGTATTGAATAATATTGCCAACTAAATTGAGATAATTTTTGAGATTCGTAAAATTTTAAATGAATAATTTATTAAAATTTTCAATTCGTGTTTAAATATAGAGAGTTCATTGTGCCTCTAGTCTAACAGAAATAACAGAAATACATGAGAGACGCTTATCCCTATAAAAGATGATTTGGCATGCGTTGAGTATGGATGGAATAATATTACCAACTAAATTGAGATAATTTTTGAAATTCATAAAAAATTAAATGAATCATATATTATATCTTTCAATTCATGATTAAATATAAATAGTTCATTACGCCTCTAGTCTAACATAAATAACATAAATACATGAGAGATACTTACCCAAAAATAAACATAATTTTTTGGTTAAAGGGATGAGCTTTATAAAAGAAAAAGAAACATGTAGAAAGTGGTCCAAATATACACCAAGCCAAAAGGAACATAAACCCTGGCAGCAAATGGAATCACATCAACCAAAAATAACAAACAAAGTATTGAGAGGGTAACAAACACAAGAGAACCAAATTACCCTGTAGGAAGTAGCACTGAAGGGGTCACAGCAAGAACCATGATTGCCCTCTGGCATAAGAGTAGCCCTGTAGGAATAGTTGCTGCAATGTGATGAGCACTGAAAAGTGCTTATTTAAACCCCTTAAGCTTATGTATTCTAGAACCTTTATCTATCTTATTTTACTATTTTTGTATTGATTTCGTGTTATTTCTATTTTCAGGTACTTATCCCCAAAATAAGCTAACTCAGCCAAATAAGAGCATAATTGAAGCAATTCTGGGATGAATCAAAGAAATGAGTAAAAGTAGAGCAAAAGGAAGATAAGGGTGGAATTTCAGCAATTTCGATCGATCTCAAGAAAAGTTCGATCGATCCAACTTTCATCGATCTCGGCACTTCAAGATAGATTTGAGCCATGATTGTCCCTGTTCAAAGATCTGAAAAGTTCGATCGATCCAACTTCCTTCTCTGATCGATCGAATATTCTTGTTCTTATCCAAATGATTGATCTTATCCAGCTGTACCACCCTACCAACCGCTTTTGTCCTTTTCCCAAAAATATCTTCAAAATATCTCAAATTTGTTTTTATCCAAAAAAGCGCCGCCATTGAGGATCGATCCAACTTCAGTTCGATAGATCTCAGCCATGTTCGATTGATCCAAGTCCAAGGTTCGATCGATCGAACTTCCTCCAATGCAAAAAAGTTAAATTTTCAGCTCACAAAAAGTTGTCCTTTATCCAATCATTGGAGAATATTAGTTGTACGACCCTCGCTCATTTTGGGTGTCATTTGACCTACCTATATAAGGATAAGAATTACTTTTTGTATCATATCATATTATATCACATCAGATTGTATCATAGAAGATCATAGCATACCTTAGAGAACTCTTAAGGAGGAAGCAAAGAAAATGAAGAGGTTAGAGACACCATTGGAGACTCTTCATCAATTAAGGAGCAAATTTCTTCCATGAAGCTTGCCCTTAAGGGTTGGAGGATATTATCCATGAGTGGCTAGACATCCTCTTGGGGTTAGAGTTAGCCCTAAGCATGCTTTCTACTTCTTGATTTATGTATTTTTGAGGGAATTTGTATTGTGATTCATGTCTTGACACTTATATTTATATAGATCTTGTTTAATCAATGATTTATGTGGTTTAATGCTTCCAATTGATCATTTCATTCTATCCATATGTCTATGTATGCTAGAATAGATGTTCATGTGTTTGTCTCTATTTCTTGTGTTATTGATGCATGTTTATGTGTGTTGATGCAATAGATCTAGAGATTGTCAAGACATAGTGTTTAATGTCATGTTCTTATGGTTTATTTGATGGTTCACACTCATTGCTTAATGGATTGTGCCTCTCCCTTAGTTTAATTAGTTTAATTTCAAGCCATTAGCTTAGTTGTAGTGTAGTTGTTAAATGGGAGGATAATCCATGCGTCTTGTTGATGTTCTATACTTATGAAAAGCAAGTAACATGTATCTCTAACCTTGTGATGTGTTTGGATTGTGAGCTTAAAGAAATGATTAATGGCTTAATTTGATATGTTGTGCTATCCACCATGTTGTTTAGACAATATATGCTTAATTTGTCATCCACGCTTATTGAAACAACCACACACACACACTCTACATTGCAATACATGCCTTTCCCCTCATTAATCATTCATTAAAGGTGTAGAAAAGTTATGCTTAGTGGTGATCTCTAAACCCCAA